CCTATGAGATAAGGGTAAAAATTTGCGAAATTGTATGGTCTGAGATGAGCATTCACTGCAAAAGCTTTATCAAAAATATTTAAAAAATTAATGTTGTGTGACATGGAAGAAAATGAATGCAAACAAGCAAAACCCAACCTCCAGAGCTGTTTAATATGTTGTGGATATTTTATAATTTCCATCATTCTCCTCAGCATTATTCAATAATGAGGCACAATAAAGAGAAAAATCACAGCTAGTTTTGCCAGGTTGGATCACAGTGTTCAAATATACACAATACAGGTTCCAACTTCAGAATTCAACATTCCACATTCACTCACTAAAATGCAACCTATGTCACATTCACTCTAAGAGCAATGCCATTGTTCAAAATTATAACCAAATGGCTAGACATGTGGCACAAGCAAAATTATATAGATACCAATCATACATTTTCAAAACTTTTCTCATTCTTCTGTTCTGTGGATTAACTATATTTCTGTAATTCCATAAGACTAGAAAATGTCAGGTTCTTAAGTTTTACCCAAATTTTATTTTCTTACTACTAATGAAATAATTTATTACTGCAGCATCATGTATAAAAATTCTGAAAATGAAATGAAAACTAAAGGCAAATTTCAAGCTGGACAAGTATGAACACATTATAAACATATGATTGGTACTCTTCAGTAAACATCTGAGGTCTTATGTGCAAAATGGAGATGGGGTCAACTGCCTGGGACCCCACCTTTGTGTAACATTAATTGTTTATGGTATCCATCTGTGGTATATAATTATATATGTGCTCTGAGTTTAAATTAAAATATAATTTAATACTTGTACATTGTAGCATTATCAGCATTTTTAATGTTTTCAATATGAAATTTTAGTTATTAACAAATAAAAAAACATTTATATAAGACAATTCTAGTGTACATCTCTCAATACAGTCAGTCAAAATTTAAGAAAGACTTGTGGTTGAAAACAATTGCAAATAAACCAATCAATACTTGAATTTCGATATGTGAATACAGATGCTGCGAAAATGATATTATATGGAAAAGGGATGCGGTTCTGAGATCATGCCATACTCACTTCTGTCAGGGCTTCTACATCACTTTTCGGATCCCATATCTAAATGAAACAAACACTTTTTTAAACAATAACCACTTGCATATTTATCACTCCATATTATGTGCACCTTAAGATGCTGGAACCAAATTCAACAGAATAAGAAAAATAATTATCCTGTAGGCACATAAATAGGAACTTACAAAATACACTCACAGGGCAATGAAGATAAGAGTGTTTTTTAAGACCTTGTCAATCAGGACAAGTATATATATATGAAGAAACATTTGGGAAATTAAAGTTTTATATATAAAAATTGGTGTCATATTTACATTCTTAGAACTTCCTTGAACCTCCAGTCAAGTAAAAATAGAAATTGATCCAAGTCTTCTACAACCTCAGCCAAATTTCACTTGCATTATGTACTTTGGTCAAGACAACATAATATGCAGACATATCACTGTTTTTTAAGAAAACATAAATTGTTGAATTGCTTTATGGTAGTAACACAGTTCTAGAGTGGTTCAAGAATCACTGACATTCCATACAAATACAATTTTAGTTAGCTTTACAACAAACCTGAAACAGCAATCCATGTCTTTAAGTTATACCTTGGAGGATACAATCTTTTACCTATCAAAAGATGCAAGCTATTTTATTCAAGGACTGAATAAACCAGTTAAAGTGTGGACTTCACCTACTGTCAGTTGATTATCATCAAATCACAGTGTTTCAAAAGATGGCTCATCCTTCATCTTCAGGTGTTGAAAGGAGAGAGGGCAGGCACCTGAAGAGACAGGAAGACCCTATAAAACATCGTGATTTGTTAATAACAATCAGCTTGTGGTGGATAAAGTTCAAAACAAAGAAATCAGTAATACAACTGCTGTCAAACATTTAAAGAACAGATAACGTGAGATATTGTTTCACATGTCCACTAAGAACAAAAATGTTGATCTGTGCTTCAGTGTTTTCTGCTTTACTGGCTGCATATATTATTTTATGAAACATTGTAACAAATGCTGACATGGTGGATCAGAATTACTAGCACTATTTATAAGATGATGGGAATTAAAAGTATATTATTTTCTATCTACAAGTTACTGGATATTTCACACCAATGCAACTGATGAAAATATGGGAAGAATGACAACAGTCTTAACTGCAGCTTACTATGCATATGAATTGTATTAAATTTTAAAAAGATATACTACAAGATTTCGTGTGTTGGACGTGTTACTAAGACACTGAACGACCATGGATAAAAAAAATAATTTTATTAATAAGTCTGTCTATATTTGAAAAATTAAGAACTGATTATTTTCACTTCACATTTCCAACAATTTAATAATATTTTATAAAACAGTACTATTTGTTTACATAATTCAAATAGTATATTGTGTTATAAAGTATACATTACTAATCATTGGAGTGCAGATATAAAGTCTCAATGAAATGTACAGATTGCTACTGTAAAAGATATTTAAGATTCATTAAAATTAATATGGATGTGTAATTAGTACAGGTATTATAGGAATTCAAACATGAAGATGGCTGGCTGTATTTTGAGTTGTGCAATGCTGTGTAGTCTGGTAGAGTTTACCAACATTTCAGTGGTACTTGTTGCCTCCATCATTAGCACAATGATGAAGGCAGAAACGTTAGTAAACTACTACCAGACTACATAACATTACAACCCAGGATACAGTCATTTTCATACTTGCTGCTGTGAAAAACTCAAATCCTACAAATTAACTAATGTCTGCAAGCCCATCTACAGTCAGGATTCAACAGGTAAAATTTGTGAAGTGTCTGCTAAAGTTTGTACATGCATTTTGTGATTCTGTCACAAAAGCAGTTTTTCTAGTTTTGCTTATAAAACACTGTTAAGTAAAGTTCTGATGTAAGAATTCCTGTAAGACACTATTTTGTAAATGAAGCTATGAAAATGGTTGCAGCTTGTCAATAATTAAATTCATGTAGATATAATGCATCTCTTATGAATAAATAACAAAACTTATTACTCACAAGAGCACCTATAAGTACTTTGAACATTATTTTAATACTTTCTCCACATAAGACCAATTCCTTGTTTCTAGATTTGCATGTCATTTGACCTCATCTATTCTGATAAGTATTATACACCTGAGTGACAAAAAAAATATAGCAAACTCAATCAAAATCGGTTTTCACACAAAATGTAATTTATCTAATGCACATTTATAGAACTTTTAGTCCAGTTCAAATAAGATGGATGTAAACATTTAACAAACTTCAATTTAACTGTATTACTAATATCTGAATTTTAAGTAGACCATTGTGTTTACTGTCAGCTTCAAGTGTGGATAATTGGATTACAACTTATAATATGAAATGGGAACTACAAACTAATCAATGATAGGGCATGACACTGGGAAAAATCATCAGCCACTTGCCTACATCATTGGTATATAAGGAATAAGTTATTACAATAACCTGGTATGCAATCTTTCTCATTCAGTTAAAATGACCAAAGGATAAAAATAATTCCTGATTTCCTCTCATACTTTCACTTTATAAAACTTGCAGTATGGCTGTCAAACCAAGTTTAGGGGCACTATTATATTAAATCTCCATAAGTTCTACATTATATGAAGTAGTGACTTATTCTTGGCCTTTTATGGCAATTTCAGGTTCAATTATATTGTAATACTGCTGCTACAAATATCAAAGTTCTTTAATAAGCCTGCAGACCATGTTTCATAGCACTTACATGAAAAATAAGGTAAAACGAGCTTTGAAAAGCATGGATTTTTCTTTCAGGTTAATTGTTGAAAAAATATACATTTCACATAAAATAAAACTGCTCTTTTATAGCCCACATGGGTTCGCATGAAATACAACAACAAACACTATACATTACAGCAAACCTTATCACAATGTCTCAGTTTTGATGGAACCCTTTTAATTTGTAACTAAGAAAGAGATATCTCAGTGTTTTTCATTATAAGGATTTGTAGCTACATTTTATATGAAACTGTACCACTAATATATATACACTACTCAAAATTTAGTAATAATATCAAATGTGTGATCCCTCAACTAGAGAAATCTTTTACGAATATTACTTCTGTATAAAATACAATTCAAGAAAAAGCAAATGAAATAAAACTATGCCAAACTCACTGGGTTCCACCCATTAAAACTTTCTGGAATTTTACTTATTTAGTTCACCTTGAAACTTGTTTCATGCCATCCCATCGAGCATAAACAACACCTGTTTTATAATATACAAACAAGAATATTAGCGAGAGACATTATAATAAAACAAAGCAGTTTTATTGTCTGAAATTTCTATTGACTGAAAGATCTGTTCTTGAAGTCAGTAATTCCTAGTGCAAAATATGACCTCAAGCAAAGACAGCTCCATGAACAATGACATAAATCAGTATAAATCCTGGGTCTAACTTCCATAATGGTAATGTTTGTTGTAACATAAACATACTTGATCTTCATTCAAGAGCTCCAGCTTTTTTTTACTTGGATCCTCAGCTTCAGAACCCCTGACAATCAAGCACAGCCAGGGAAGAGAGGGGGAGGGATTACTGAAATCATTATTGAGCAAACTGCACATTGCCTCAACAACAGACTGGTTCTTAAATTGGATGTGACCAGTCTGAGCCTTTGCTCCCCATGAGGAAGGGAAGCATCTTTTCTTAACTAGTGCTTCAAGGTATATGTAAATGCCATTAGTTTCCAGTACTGTAATACTGGCATAAAGACCTAAAGGAATTGGGACTGGAGTATACTACAATAAAATAAACATGGGAACACAATGTGTAAATGCATCAAACACTCAACTCTGTGGAATACAATCTACAATCGTCTTGCCTGATTCAAACTGTTGAGGATATGGAAGATTGGCACCAAGAAAAAAGTAACAGAAATGCATTTGGAGGAACCCAAATCCAACATTTTCGACATAACAGAATAGAATATACATGTTCAAAGATACGAATGCCATTTACACAGATATCATTCAGTAATAACTACTTCACTACTGAAAAACAATATCTGTTAAATGGCTTTCCTTTCAAGAACACTTACAGATTTTTTAACAAATTAAAATATTGCAAATGAATTTCTCTGAAAGCTGAATGATGGTATTAAAAGGTTGGGTCCCAGGTCATTATTACAAAGAAATTCTAATATTCACTCTGAAATGTTTTGATGAACGTAGAGACCTATTTTTTTCATTCTTTTCATTTTTTTAAACAACAATGTTTTGTATGCATTAATTATGAAATTCCCTGAACATTCAGCTGCTATTTTAAAACAAAGTCCACCACAACCTAGTACCCGCTGACCCCACACCTCTGCTTCTGCATTCCACAGAGCATGAAGCAATTCTTGTCAACGTGCAAAATAATAAATGTAATCCATATTTTCTTCCATAATCATTATTATTATTAATTATTCTACACAAATAGCTCTGTACAGATCATTAATTATTTTATACCATTTTCATGTACTTTTTACAAAAGTGAAAACTAACACAAGTACTTTGCACGTGCATGAATGGCATCAGAATGCTCAGTGCAGAACACAGAGGCCAGGTGAATGGAGAAGCAAAGTGGGCACACCAATCAAATATCTGTCTCGTTGTCTTCTCCTTCATCCTAGCCAATATTTGTACTGGTATTTTTCACCTTGAAAATGTGATACTGTTTTAATCTTTTTTAAGTTGCACCACCACTAGATCTTAGGAAAATAAATCACAAACTACAACAGCTGTTGCATCGACTTCTTAGTAAGAATCTTCTTTGTAGAAAGAGGATGTGCAAGCCCTCTACTCAAAGAAATGTGACGAGCGATGGGGCAATGATGGATGTCTCTACAGGACTGCACCATTGACTATTGATTCTTTCCAAGAAATATCATCATTCTACACTTTGTACACTAGTAACTCACTGTCTTACTGACTCACTTGGTGTCTCTTTCCTCTCACACCACCACACAAGTGACTTGAGAGATCGTCCTAGCACCATCAGGAAACATGTTCCAGCTGGATACTCAGTAAAGTTAATGAACAAAAAGATTCTTAAAAATGATAACCTGTACCAAAACAATGTATTTTTCTCTTTCCCCTGGAGACTTATGGTGGGATATATAAATCCTGTCGAGCCAGATGTGAGAGGACAAAAAAAAAAATGTTCTATACAATATCACTTGTGGACATATCCGTCTAGGGGAAAACGGAAAATCCCACTCTGGCAGATTCTTATTATCTTATCAGTTCAGTTCAATTCAGTTCAGGTCTCGATCTTCTAAGTACTTGTATTCAAACATAAAACCTTCCTTCTTCCTTTGGCCCCACTTTTCATAGTCGAAGTATATATATGTTCCCTGAAAGAAAAGAAAAACAGTAAGGTACATTCATTTGTCAGCTCATAATGCTGCATAACAAAACTAAACTATATGGACATTATAAAATTATTATTAAAGTGAATACAGAATAGGTCATCGGACACTTTTGATGTAGCAATCATCACTTATGAGTTGCAAATAAGAAAGTAATAAACTGGAATTGTCCCTTATGTACATGACAGCTAGTGCAGAAATTAATCAACATGCAACAAATTTACACTAGTAAGCTTCAAGCCACATTTTAGGAGCTGAAGATGGAACATATTCAAAATTATATTTTGCATGAACTAGAATTATTCTGTACATGTGAAAAAGTTCCTTCCATGTAAGACATATTTATGGAGCACACATGGCTATCATCAGAGGAAAATTCAACAAATGATTTGAGTTTGTAAAGATGCCTCTAAATTAAATCAGAATCCATAAATAAAACACATTTTAAATTCAAACTGCTGCATCTGGACCAGTGAAAAAGCAAAGGCAGATATGTTGGTGGTTATACCGAGGCATGGCCCTTCTGCATTGTGCAAACACTGTGTTGGTTGCTGCCTTTTCTAATCTGTCAGCCGCGATGACAGTAAGGCAGTAGCAACACCATGAAGTGATGTTCACTTATCTGCATTACAAGAGATACTGTAAATGTTCCCCCACTGGCTTGACTAAAATCCTCACAATTTTGAAACCGAGTTCTTCTGTTTGTAGACTGGTTTGATAGATTTTAGGTTTAAAATATCTTCAATGACTGAAGACATCAGTTACAGATAATAAAGTCTGGATACTAGATCACATGGACACAAAGAACAGACAACTGTTTTTTGAAGGCATAGTTTCAATAATGTTGTAGCAGTTCTTGTAGTTCCTTTTGACACTTTTGTTTCTTGCACAAGGAGGTTAAGAGTCTTATGTTCAAGCCAAACCCAACTCCTCTTCTGTTAATACTCAATGCTGAATATTCTTTGGTGCCCTGTGTATCAACACACCAACTGTTCTTACTTTATTGATTTGATCTTGTATAGTGTTTCTGGGGTGAGCATAAACCCTGTACAATTCTCTTCTGAATTTCTTCTTGACTTCCTAGCAGAGTTACACTTCATGTAAGATTCATACAAAGACATTCATTACTCTTGTGTAAACTTATCCATTTTCTACATGGAGTGTAACTTGCACAACAGAGTCACACATGAATACTCAAACTTCCTCTTTATCATTACTGTTGACTCATCAGGGCAACATCCACTTCTTGCTGCAGTATTACCGAGTGTAAATGTTATGCCCATGCACAGAAGTCAAAATATCTCCCAGTACTTAACAGACACTTATAATTTATTAAAGCTATGAGAGACTGAAATGTGTACGCTCTGCTGTATCAGGTACATATGTGTTACTCTGAGTAAGATAAAACTTTTAATATGGATTTTATAAAAAAAACAATAAATTCATATCACAATGGACCGCCACGGTGGTCTAGCTGTTAGAACGCTGGCCTTGTAATCCTGGGGTCCCGGGTTTGATTCCCGGCGGTGCCCGAATTTATAACTTGTGTTGGGCAACACGGAGTTTTCCTCCGGGACTTCCCCGGTTTCTCCGTGGCATTCCAACAATTACTCCATACTCCATACACACAGAAGACGGCAATGGCAAACCACTTCTGTTATCACCTGCCTAAAAACATATATGAACAGGTCCCAGTCCGAGAAAAGGATGGAAGGATCCTGTTCATAATATGTTGCCAACCTCCTGTAAAGGAGACGGCGTAATAAAGAAGAAGATATCACAATATTACACATAAAGAAATTCCCAGAAAAAATTACATTCTATTAACAAATATGATAATGTACTATGTACCTGCTCGTACTCCTCGTTGATGATCTTGGGTTCCTCATGGCGCTGGAACCACATCATATACTTTGTGTGGAACCTCCAGCTCTGCTTTTTAAGGGCCTTGGCTGCCAGGTACTGTGCCTTGGTCCCCTCCATGTAGTAAAAGATGAAGAAGAGAGTCTCCGTCGACAATCGCTGGAAAAACTCCACTGTATCCGAGTGTGGCAGTGGAACCTATTGCAGATCATTCATGTTAGCCTGTCCACTAAATGAATGTGCATTACACTTATTCCTTATATGAATACAGCATTTAACCTTTATTGTATGGGAACTGGGGATTTAAAGACCCGTACTATGGGGCTGCCAACTTGACTCTGGGGTTAATGGTTTACTACATACAGAGCTTCTCTACTTTTTCTGATACACATAATGGTAAAACAGCTGGTCTCTTATCTGCCTCTTAATATACAGTAAAAATAATACACTTCAAATTTAATTACCATCAGCATGTCTACACAGTTTATGTTATAATAACCGCCTTCATATCAGGTTTCTAGACAACAATTTTGCAGGCATTTCACAACTCCTGTGCATGCTATATGCTTCATTCATCTTACTCTCCTTCACTTGAGCAGTGTAAAAATATTTGGTGAAGCTCCTCTTCCTGGAGTCATTCTGGGACACAAAAATAAAGATAAAAATCCTGGCACCCATAAGTGAAATGAATGAATGCATGCAGTTTTATCTGTAGTCCACCAATTTAATGAACAATCGTGGTTCCCACTACAATTTTTTTGTTATAAATATGTACCACACACCATGTACACATTACTCCTTTGGCAGAATGAAGTGCTACATTCCATTTTGTCTAAAACTGGTCCCAAATGCCCCATTTTGCTAGTCACTTTGTCTACACACACTGAAGTCTGAAGATATGTCACAGCATTTGTGGGGACACAGTTACAGATGCAATTAGTTGCTTGAAATGAAGAAAATCTGCTGCTCTTCATTTTTAAGGCAAATCTGCGCCCAAGTCCTAGCACATATGAGCAACATAACCAGACTGTTAATTCAAATAAGATTCATGTCCAGTTAATGCATTTTCTTCTTATGCTATTGCTTTTCTTTATGTCTTCATCAAACTAACATCATCAGCATCCAGCATACACCAGTAAAGGATGCCCATACAATAATTGTAACTGGAATTATTCAAGCTGTCACCGTTTTCCTTAAACTTCCTAATAGCATGTTCATAAATAAACCTGGAAAACTACAATGATAAAGCATTTCCTTGTATCAGGCCATTCAGGAAAGGAAACGCATCTGACAAATGTTTACATACGCAGACCCTACCACAGCTTTTGTTCAAACACATTTTAGTTACCGTAACTAGCTCTAAGAATGAATCAAATTCAATGATGATATAAAATATGCCATCACCCTTGGTGGATTAGTGGTTAGCATGCTCGCCACTAGACCCAAGGTTCGTGGATTCAAACCTGGCCGAGGTCGATGGATTTTTAAGGGTGATAAAAATCGATAGTACAACTTCCTTCGGAGGGGACGTAAAGCCAGCGGTCCCATGTCATAGATTTACAGCATGTAAAATACTTTACAAGCATGAACAAGATGTTTCATAAGGAAAATTCAGTGGCCATTTCTCACCCATGCCTCTCCTGATTCTCTACTAGATGTCTCTAGAAGAAAAATCAAGATTGAGTAGAAATTGTACAGTGGCAGTGGGCTGGTCACTCACTATTCACACTTCAAAGACAAGGAAACCTCCCACACGGGAGGAGGCCAAGGCCTGAACTTGGGCTGTAGCGCTATTGGATGGATGGATGGATGGATAAAATATGCCTCTTCCAACTGAATAATAGGCTTTCTTGAAGTCCAGATATACTGTCAGATTGTGTTCCCATTTCTTTTCCAGTGTCTGATAAATGCAGAATATCAGACGAACCGTTATATGTTAAAACCCATGCTCATGATCCCAATAATTCTGCATGTGTAAGAAGTTAAACCTAATGGAAGAATGCTGAATAAAACCTTGTATATAGTCAAAAACAGTGATAGTCCTCACTAAGAACTACAATCAATTTTATCCCCCTTATTATAAACAGAGACAATAATAGCCCCCTTACACTGTTCTGGCAGTTCTTGCCTATTGAAAATGTGTACAAAATAATTATTTCTTTTAATATCTTCCAGACTCCTTTGACTTTCACAAACACTATTGATGTAACTGTGGCTTTTAGATCACCTGATGGTAATAAAGAGGTGTAGGGACGGGATTGCGTGGAAGGTAAGTCCGCAATCTTTCAGAGTCAGATGGGTGTGGCATGTGGTAAAATGCAGCCTCCATCATCTGGAATTGACACTGGTGTTCCTTCTGGAGTGGTACTGGACCCAGTGGTGCAACACCTAGTAGTGGAGGGATGTGTGCTTCTGACGTTACTGACTGCTGCTGCTGCTGTTGCAATTTGCTGTCAAACAACCCTCGGGCTGGTTCTGATGGTGGTATCTCCAAACCAGCACGATCAATAACTTGTTGTGCTATGACCTTCAGAGATGACATACCCTCAGGAACCTATAACAAAAGGAACCCTTCGTTAAAAATTATACAGTTACCCTCAGGAACCTATAACAAAAGGAACACTTTGTTAAAAATTATACAGTGGCTTTTGACACTCTACAAATGGTAAATATAAAATACAATATATGATTATTTAAGGGTTATGTTTTGCAACGTTCAGAGTTCAAACATGTAAATGGCTTGCCTGAAATGAACGATAAGCAAAAGTAAATCAAAAGCTGTGAATGTAGGGGATTCTGCCATTACTCCTATCAGAGATCTGGGGGGAAAGGGAGGTAAATAAATGGTGATGAAGGTCTTAGGCAGATGGAAGCACTCTACACAATGCTTCCATCTTCCACGGAAGGATGTTCGATACAGCTTCTTCCTGATCATGATATTATATGCCCAATATTATAATCATATGAAGTAAAGAGAAAACATGAAAGTTCAGGCTATGTACTGGTCATATCCAAGATAAGTGACATTCCTACAATGTAGTTTTCTTCACTTCTTACCAGTGGACACAAACATGGTACTTCATGCAAATGGTTAAGTGTACAATTAATGCAATTCCACACTGAAAATATGCATGTCTCAGAACAAACATCAACTTATACATTCAGTTCAGACAATACACAATAATGTATTTCAATGAGCAAAATTAACAGTGGTAAGAATTACAATGATGCCAATATTTTACAGTCTGCTTTTATTTTTATCTGCTTATCCACAACAAAAGTAATAATCATTACCATAATTCTTTTCAGTATTAGGCATATTGAGATCTATTACTAATGTTGCAAAAGATTTAGTAAATTATACTACAATAAAAGAAAAAAAATATTCAGGTCATGTCATCTTCCATGCATTACACTGTCACAGGCATATGCTGAAATTCTTGTCCTTAGGTTTTCACTGACATTCTATGTACAACTTCAGATTTCCAGAATGAGCTGCATTAAATGCTGAAAATTATCCAATGTTTTGGTAAATATTGCATACTATCTTCAGGATGAGTGTAATGGTTGGGTGTTTTTGTTAGTCATATAGGCAGACAGTAGGTGCAGGGCAAGGTGACACAAGAGGTGATGAAATAAGCCATGGTGACGTGGATGAGGTTCATGTCTGAAAGCCAAAGTTATACATGTTATGCTGCTGATACTATCAAAGGACATACACAGCAGAAGGAAAAATAAATTGTGACAGTGAATGTCTGTAGAACAAACACCAGAATAACAAAATTGTTAGTATCATAAAAACAATGTATCCTTACCCCATTATCTTTCAATGTTATTTAGCATCATGCAAAAATATTCCAGTATAGTCATTACAATAAAAATATTGAGAAAGCACAATAAAAACTCATTAAAAAGGGAGAAAAGTCAGAAATTCACACAAAAATACATATCTAAATAACGTAAAAAACACACTCCTTTTATTTTGGAATGTAACTCTTCCGAATCTAACAACTGGCAATGCTATATTAATTATTACTCACTGGAAAGTATAGCTGGAAAGTGTCATTTGGGAAAAGTTCAATTGTGGTCAGTCATACAGTAGCAATGCTGTTCAGCTTCCCAACGTCAAATGGTCAACAGTTATATGTACAATTTTAGAAAGACAATGAAGGAAAGAAATGAAAGAGGAATTACACATGGACTACCTAAATTAAAATGAAGTTCTAAAACCCTCTTCTGAGCCTTCATAACAGTGCTACAAATCCATAAGATTAATTATTTTAACCATGCTGCACATCATTTTCTCACAATTTTCCTGAAGTAATGCAATTTTAAAGTAAAAATATGAGAAATATCTCAGTATTCTTTTTTTAAATGTAATAAAATATTTTTTGCACAACTTTAAAATCTTAAAACTAGGTGGCGGCAGCACCACGCAGACTAACAAAAATGTGTTTCAAAGCTCTGTGAATGAAGTCAAATGTTGCAGCAAAATACAGAGAGAGTCAAAAGTATGTTCACAAACTTCATGTGTGTGTGTGTGTGTGTGTTCCAGGATCAAAAATAAGAAAAAAATCTTCCTATGAACATAGGTCACAAATGTTTCATTTTCGAAATAATAGCCAAAAATAAGTTTCAATGAATGACTTTATGTATTCAGAACAGGGATTTTCTTTCTGCAATATTGGCCCAGCACACTTTTCCTGTCGCGTAAGAGATCATCTCAATGAACAGTACCCTCAGCGATGGATTAGACACGGTGGCCCAGTAGCATGGCCACCAAGGTCACCTGATCTGACTCTATTGGACTTTTATCTGTGGGTCACTTGAAGTCCGTCGTTTATGCAACACCCATAAACAATGAAGATGACCTATGGGAACGTGTGCGGAATGCGTGCCAGATGATTCGAGGAGACCCTGGTGCGTACGAACGAATCCGCCAGTCTTGTGTATGTCATGCTCAGGCAGGTGAGGAGAATGGAGGAGTAACCTTTGAGCATCTGTTATAAAGAAACATCCCTGTCCTTATACTTGGCAATAAAGGCATACACTGAAAATTATTTTTGGCTATTATTTTGAAAAAGAAACATTTTCGACCACATGCTAATAGGAACACTTTTTCTTCTTTTTGATCCAGGAACATGCACACAAAGTTTGTAAACATACCTTTGACTCGCCCTATATTATCTTTTGAAGTGAACTAGAGTCAAATGAATGCTTGTTCAACTTCAGTAAAATATTGCAGTAATAGGGTTAAAAATGTAATTTTACTTGACCCCTGGTTGAGAATTCCATATAATGACCTTTGACGTGATGGGCCCATTTAACGTAGGCAAAATGGAACCCTGATGTGTGGGTTGTGGGGGTTGCTGCTGCTGGGCAGGCGATGGAGTTGTCGTGCCCGCTGTGGGGAGAGGTGACGGTGCACTGCTTACTGATGAAGGTGGGGATGATGAGTTATGTTGATGATGATCCATCGAGTTGACCAGACACTGCTGTTGTTTGGCAGTTTGTTGGGACAGTGCAGAGACCAGTTGGCTACCCGTTGTAACATTTCCACCCTGTGATGTCAACATCTGAATCACATAATATTTTGTGAGGCAACAGAAACCCATACTGTGAGTGAACAGTGAAGTGTTAAATTACTAAAATTAATAATATGTAAATAACAAATAAGGGTGTGTTTCACTCAAATTTATCACTTCATCAGACACTAATTATTTGCAATATTCTGTAATTCAGTGGTCTTCATTGTTGAGAGAAATTCAATGTTGTAAAGCCAACACCACCCTCAGTTCTTACTTACCGAACATTTCAAGCAGAATTTCAGGTTCTCATAGCAGTGAGTATGAAGATGGCTGTCTTCTAGGTTGCAGTGCTGTGCAGTCTGGCAGACACTTACCAATGTTTCAGAGATATTTGCTAACTCCATCATCAATACCCTGATGATGGAGACTCCAAATATCTCTTAAATGTCTGCAAACTTCTACAGACTACATGGTACTAAAACCCAGAAAAAAACAATCTTCAACAATACTTAAACTCTTATGATGGTTAGATTAGTTGGCCAGAGCACTATCATCAAATATGTTTGAAAGGGTATTTTACAATAATCAGTGAATGATGGGAATAATGTTCAATGGTACAAGGAAAACTCTGTCCTAAGAAATCATTCTGATGGGTTAATTAAGCATCCAACCCATGTCTATTTAGCATCAGACATAAGACCAATTGTGCAGTCAGGTTCTATACAATCCTTAGCAATACTTTACAAAATTATTAAACACAGAGTCCACTTAAGATAGTTCCAAAGAACAGAAAATACACCTATATTCTATGAAGTATAAATGAAAAACAAATTTTCTAACCCTCCAGCAACCAAACAACTGACAACTATGAACAACAACAAACATGCTTGCAGTTACCATACCTATGCCATTGACTGTTAAATACTGCCTATGCCAGCAGGCATATTTGCAATGAAATACCCCTGGAACTTTTCTGAACCCAATATGCTTTTAGATATTCCACAGAACATTACTTGGGGGGGGGGAGAGAGAGAGAAGTTGTGTGAATTAACAGAAACCCTTATATTTGCTGACTTATCAGGTTTGGTGACCAGTCACTCTGTTGTGACAAATGTATAATACCTGAATTTTGTTGTAAGAGTTCACTTACATTGTATGATTTGGGAGATAAGAACAATAATAAAAAAATCATGCAACTACAAATTTTCTTAAATTTGGTGATGGCATTAAAAAATGTTTTTCTGATAACAGGGAAATATTTTTCATCATACATATCGACATAGCAGGAATATTATAAAAAATGTATGCAGGCCGGACACAACAAACTGGAGGGTCACATGCGGCTTGTGGGCTGAGAATCCATTTCAACATGACAGTGTTGAAAATGACAACAATCCAGCTTCTTTCTTATAATTGAAAGAGAAGCAAGAATTTTCAGAAATATGTTGGAGACAATTGTCATGCAGTTTCTAATTTGAATAAGTGAACAAGCCTCACCAATGGCTAAATTCAGATTACTAGCAGTGCAGTGGCCATGAATAGTTAAGTGGACCCTTTTGTCTGCTGTGCACTTGAAGAAGTGAGCCCATACTCATCACAATGGGAACCTGACATCTCACTGATGTACACTTGTCTACCATTCAGCTTACCAACCATCGCCAAAGCACCACTACAAACTTGTCTTTGGGGAACTTCATTTTTAAAATGTATCTCTCAGGGTGCCCAGATGATAGAGGCAGTAAGGACCCCTGAAATGTTGGTAAATTTCTACCAGAATATAGCATTGCTACAACCAAGAACACAGCCATCTTTATATGTGGTACCATGAAAAACTTTTAAATGCTTCTTAGTTATGCTAGCAGAGGAAAAAAAGTGTAACAATTACTTAAGGTTATTAATACTACATTTGTTCATAACTGATTGATTTTTGGGCCATATAATTTCACCTTTATTGTTCATATGATGCAACTTGCTTGTAGTCAGTCACTATACTGACTGAGCTACCCTGGCCACCAGGAGTGAACGCATAACTGAAGCGTTGTTGCCTGTATGCTAGCCCTGATGTCACCTGTCAGCCCGAAGCTCCCCTGGCCATCCAGTCTGTACTACGGTCCATTTATGTGTAATACTCTCTCCCAATCTCCCCTGTGACAATGTAGTCAAGGTCAACCTGGCTGCTGCTTATGCCAGTTGTGCAAAAACTGTGCAGGTGTGAACATGGTGTACTCATGAGAAGAACACATGTTCATTCTAACACTACTTTGCATCAAAATCATTTGCTGCTGTTTGTGAAGAACTTAGCAATGTGTATCCTGTAAAGAAAGTAAGATGATAATACACCAACTGGCAACAAACCTTGGGGACACAGGAAGCATTCTTGTGTTATTCTTCCTGCCCTCTCATTTGTGGGTGTGCCATGGGTTTGGGCGAGTTCATATTCCGATATTGCTTCACAAATGGGTGTTTCGGTTAGTCGCGTTTCAATTGTGGACACATGAGTATGTATTGCAGACACTGTTGAGATGTAATACTAACATACAGACAAACATTCAGTCACTTTTAAGATGCCTCCTATAAAAAGTAAATTGTAAGGCAAAGTTATTCATAGCCAGACATGATAGGTTGTGGCCTATGTATATATATTCATGAAAAGAGAGGCTGATGCTGGAGTTCCCACAAACTTCAACAAAACCCAGAAAAGAGTGGCAGAGGCAACAGGAGTATTGGAGAGGTCTGTTACAAGAACAGTGAAAGATATGAAAACCATAGAATCTGGTGCATCGACTTCATTCATGACTCCTCATAAAGAAAGTTTTGTATCATCTCCTAAATCAACGCTGGACAACTTTAATGAATGTTATTTGTACGACTGTTAATGACTTTTATATCGCTGACTAAAGAAAATCCATGGTAAGTAGGTCCAGTAAATTGGGTTTACAGGGAGCCTATCAACTTTAAGAAACGTGCTAATGAGGTTAGGTTTTGGGTGGACAAAACATAGAATAATCGACAAATCCTCATGCAACACCATATCAGAGCTTTGAGGATACCATATTTAAGATACATAGCAAAGTACAGAAGTGAAGGTAGACCCATAGTTTTAATGGATGAGACATACAATCATGACTCACCCAGTGCAACGAAAAAGTGTAACAATGGTTTATCGCCAAATAAACAATGGTTCATCTGTTTATCAACAAATCAACAATAATGGTTACCTAAGGAACATCTATTTACTCAGCATTTTTGTTAGCTAGAAAACGTTGTTACACTTTTTCGTTCCACTTACCTTACATTACCTTACCTTACATTACATTACATTACCTTACCTTACATTTCATTACATTCAGCTACTACAGACCCATCTTAAGCGTAACTAATTCAAGTTAAATAAGCAATGTCTTAATCAAACTTATCTCAAATGTAAAGCATGTATGAAGGAAATATTTAGAATAAAGCCAATATATAAAATTCCTTTCCCGTATAGACGTATTTACGTCAAATTCTCTGGAACCGTGGTTCCACTGACATCTTTTTGTTAGACTAGCAGTTGTGGACCAGCAAGCTGCAGTGAAGTATGTTGCTTCTGAGAAAGTTCCCCTACTACTTTCTCCTACATTCCCCTAACATGCCAGCCAAAGGACAGGAAGAATAACACAGACCAAGGAACAAAATTGCTGAAATTATAACTACAGACACTCTCAGAATTAATAAAGTGCCAGCCGCAGTATCCTCGCGGTCTGAGGCATGATCCTTGTGCGCCAGGCTGCTATGACCGTGGGTTCGAGTCCCACTCAAGGCATGGATGTTTGTAAAAGGGGGTGAAGTCAGGGGCCTACTTGTGGTGCCCCCTCTTTGCTAAAAATGACTGACACTTGTCGCCTTGTAAATAGACTAATGGCTGAGAGGCTTAAGTCTGGCGTGGGGGGGGGGGAATTAATAAAGTACAATATGCTCTCAACCCTAAAAACAGTATGGGCATTGCCATGATTGTCCTCAACCTGCACCCCTTGTCCTGTCCCATGACTACAGCAGACAGGTTTCTGTGATAGTACTCACATCTCTGGGTGTAGGTTGTTGGTGGTGTGTTGTAGACTGCGTCTGCCCATGTGTTCCTGATGAAGGCTGGTGATGGTGATGGACTAATGCCACTGCCACTGATACAGACGTTGACGAAGACTGCTGATGGTGTAAGGATGCAGATGCAGGGGCAGAGCTAGCTGAACTCACTGATGTTACGTGTGGAGGAGATGTTGTGAGTTGTAATAATGATGGCGGTTGCTGCTGTTGCTGCAATGATGCTGTACTGGATGGCAGACTCCCATTCTCTGAACTGTGTGCTGAATAAATATAAATCCACACCATGTGAAGTATACAGTATACAAGCATACAGAAACAAAACAGCTTCTTTATATACTGTTACAAACTATGAAAGAAAACAATTCAAACTATTCCCAAAATATGGCATAAACTTACAGATAAGTTTAGAAAATATATAAACCACAAATACAATTCATACTCTAAGACTGCAAAATTTTTAATCAAGTCTATCCAACTATAGCAAAGGCATACCTGCTCAAGCAAAATCCAAGAACATTTAACCTCTGCAGTGTAATGGTTCAGAATTTCAGACATAATACTCATAATACTACAATAAATCATTTTTATTCCAAACAAGGTTGCAATATGTAAGCTACAATATTAGTTAATTTTAAACATAAAACAGGGAATACAGACAGACCAGCAGCTATTCACCCATTTACAGGCCATGAAAGCTGTCATAAAGAATAAAGTGTATCTCATACTTACATGTGTTTTTACTGGAAGTAGTGTTCGGTTGTGTGTTGGCTGCAGCAACTGCTGCGAAATTGCCAACTATGTGATTACTAAGCCCTGAACTTGGAGAACTATTGTTAGGTGTGGAGTGAGACACTGAACCTGGAAGTAATGTCAGAGGGAAAATAAAAATCATGTTCATATTAAAATCCAGAGTTAAAATTCCTGGCAATTAAAATCCTATATCAGCAACAAATATTCTCAGAATTCTAAAATATAAAAGACGGGATTAAATTATATTTATATATTCTTACCATATCTTTATTATCCTGGGATATTTCCAATCTTCAAGATCAATTCTGGGATATATTAACTATTAAATTACATTGCATAACATAATATTCAAGAATATAATGTGTACTCAAGATCTTCTGTTACTGTTTTGAATGTAATTTTATGAAGGGTTAACAGAAATAGAGATTAGTCTTCTGTTACTGTTTTGAATGTAATTTCATGAAGGGTTAACAGAAATATAGATTATGTAGACACTGAATTGAAATACAAATATAAAAAATACTGAATCAATTTATTATTTAAACCAGCAATAACCATATTTATACGAGAAACAATGTAACTTTCTCACCTGATACAGGTTTACTGGGTGTACTTGAGTTAAGGACTGGTTTCAGTGCAACTTGTGAGCAGTTGCTGGAACTAATCAAGGAATTGCTGTTGCTGACTCTGACAGCTGTTGGTTTCACAGGCTGAAATATCACAGAATTGAGTGGTTTCTTAGTTTTAGTCCTGTTATTCAAATGCATACATCTTTACTTTTGTTGGAAATGCAAACCTCAATTTAGAACTACACTCAGACATTCCACTGTGGTCCAAATGCTTGTGCCAACAGGAAACAAGAAAATCTTCAGTTTAACAGAAGTAGTATAAAAAATTCACGACTTCAGCATTTTACATGTTTATCACCAAAGAATGGAAACTGAAATAAACTGCAAATTTCAAATTGTTAATTTGATGCTTCAATTATGGATGTTATGGACTGAAACAAATCAGCATACTGTGAAATTCATAGAAACAAACAAGGATGAAATAAAACCACATCTCAGGTTCTCAACTGGAAAGATGTTGAAACTGATGAACTTCATGTTTTTTTTTTGGCCAGCCAGATGCATATGGAAACACACTAAATAGATATTCTAAAACAAAGTGTTAGTAAACATTTTCTTTTTAACATAAAAGTTTTATTTAACACATATCACAGGACAGGTACAAGTTGCTTTCACAATGTTCATATTTAGTAAGCAATAATGAACTCAAAACTTCTTTCTTTGCATGCTGAGTTTGTCAGAAATGTGATAGATACTGCTAGTGCAGGGAAACCCTCCTGCTATGACTGAAATAACTTCAGTTTTATAATAAAACACATGTTAGATTTAGCACTGTACCTTTGCTGGCAGGTCATCCTTTGTTTTTTTCTTGTCTTCGTTGGAGCTGTCACTGGAATGGTTATGCAGGGCATTAAGGGGAGGAGATGGGACAGGTGAGTTACCCGATGTGGTGGACGTTGGAGTACCTCCTGTGTCATTACTGTTGTTGCTGTCTGTTGTTGCAGATGATGGGAGGCCAACCTATAACATAAATACATCTCTTAACATCATGCTCTAATACAAACATCAATGTATTTAGTAAATGCTGCAATAAATAAGTGGGAAGGTGTACTGGAATACACAGCCTCCACATACATTCTTTGCATTCTCAATGTGGCTATATGTCCCAAATATACACGATAAAGACAGTAACAGTATAAAGTACAACTCAATGTAATATTAATGCAGTTCAGTATCTCAAGATGTTTCTGTCTCTTAAATATAACTTTATATTTCTAAATATGTTTATGTATTAAGCACACAACTGTAGAATTTGTGAATATAGAGAAGCCTTAATCATGAAGTTGCTGATGGTACACAGAAATATCATACAACCAAAAATAATCAGATAACACAAATACAGAAATTTAATACTCATAAACAAAACAATAATTTGCCAATTTTTAAAAATATATTTAGAATAATGTGGTACAGATTTCAGTGCAATGTACTCATACCTGTTTACCTTCAGTTACACAAAAGAATAAAGAGAGATGAACAAACTGCAGTCCAATTTATGTACTTCCATTACTATCACTAAAACTATAGTCACAAACCCCCTCCCCCCAGAGTGATGTGAAGCAACCACTGATGGTGGAGGAATGTAGCAAGTTCTGGAAAACATCTAGAAGATGCTGGTGACATATTCTGAAACACTACAGCATTCTGTGGAACCATTCCACAAGCTATGAATATGAGCTCCCACAATAAGCCAGAAAATAGATGAAGTAATTAGCGAGACAGCAACCAAACAAACGCTCACTGCAGGAGTGAGCATTACTGACTGACTAATGGCAGGAGACAAGAAGAACCGCATTAAAATGTAGAAGTGAACATTTAAATCCAGATAACCAGGACTGTGATTTGTAAAGTGACAGCCATTAATCTGGAAAATAAAGAATTGTAATAGTGGAATAAACCCATCTTGTGGTTTTAAACAAAGAACCCACTATGTAATAAATTACTACATTAGAATATATAAACAAAATATTTTGAATTCTTGTTTCCTTTTTCTACTGAATTATTTATCAGCAATTTATTGCAGAGAGGACAGCATAATCCCAAGCCTCGACTTTGTTCTGATATACCAAATAATTCAATACACACAAAATAGATCAAATAATACATAATGAGAATGCTCTCAATCTACCAATTTTAAGAAAAACTAACTTATTTATGAAACAAAACGTTACCTTAACTGAAAAAGTCATACTGAAAATTTGCAAAAGCGTGTTAATATAATATTTAGGTTAGTCAAACAATGCAGTGTTTAGCTTGGGGGCTAGATTGCTGGACTTGTGTGCATGTTCTTACACAACTGAATCCTAGTCAAGACCAATTTCTTTCAGTGCTTACAGTGTTACATAAATTACAGACTAATAGGTGTTGTTCATGCTCTAACGTAAGAGAAGAACACTTTGTGGGCCCATCTGTGTCTCACATTGTTCATCAGTGCTTACAGTGTTACATAAATTACATACTAATAGGTGTTCTTCTTGCTGTAACGTAAGAGAAGAACACCTTGTGGGCCCATCTGTGTGTCTCACATTCTTCCCACGGGGCAGGCAATCTGCATAACTGGGGACACTGATACACAACTACAGGAACTCTTGGTTACCACCATTAGAATATATTGTTGCACAACAATGACCTTTGACCATATTTGTGGAAGAATGACCCAAGGTACAATAATTACCCCAGATGGCATTAGTGAATGAATGACCCAAGATGCAACAATGATCTCAGACTGAATTAGTGTAACAATGACCTACATAATGTGGCATAAAGAATGCCTCTGAATGTCAATGTACTCCAAAGACTACCCCTTCCAGTCTTATTATTAGGGTTTCTTCACGTACCAGCATGAGTGACGAATATCTTAGATACCTATCCATGTTTGTCATGTTTTCCCCACAAACTTGACAAACCACAAGGCTCTTACAATGAGTAAGGTGAACACAGGGCACTACATTACAAGTGTTCCTCCACCCCCAAATGTGAGGCTTCAATCCCAAGTAATGTGCCTGGAGGGCTTTTTCCCCACAGGCCATTCCCTGTTGACTGGCCTCATCTTCTGGTTTTGCCCACAGTGCCATTGACTTTGCCACCCCTGGGACTTGGGCTTCATATTCTATGCCTAGCCAAACCAGGTAACAAAATTCATAGCTATGACCTTGTATGGCTTCTGCCACAGTGAGTTAAAACCAAGACTGGAACTGCCCACATTGGGCTTGTCCCAGTGGCCTCAACCCATTTGGAAAACATCAGAGATTTCCCCTCCCACTCACTAAATCTTAATCCAAACAAGAGTTGACAGATCTGTAGCTTTGCGAATCTGGCATTTCCTTCAAACACCTAGGGCTGTCCACCTACAGAATTAATACTCAGTGCTTGGCTGATAAAGGGTTTCTCCCCAAAGGCCTCTGCAAGATTTGACCTGCCATCTCTGAGGCTTTACCACCCACATTCTTGCAACAATGGAAACAGAAGCCATTGCAGGCTCACAACAAAGATCTCACATCACATAATGTCAACAATGATCTTGGATATAATTGTTACCTCTGATACCACTGCTGCATTTGTTATTCCTTTCAAGTAAGAGTGATATAAGTCTACAGTTCCTTTGAGCTGTGGTTATAAATAAGGCAACATTCTTACATAACTACCCATAATGTAGTGTAAAGAAAATCTTTGGAATTTATGTGTACTCTAAACAGAACACCTTTTTGTTAATGCTAATGCTGCTGATGTAAGCATTATCACTATTAATACTCATTTTAATCTTGGCAAGAACTTTGAAATTTGTTGAGTAAAACACAAAAGATTCACACGATCACCATGACTTTCTTGATCATAAACAGAACTTAATAGTATCTAAAACAAAATTTGCAAGCATGTGTATGTTATATCTCCATACCAAATTTCACATGCCTGATCCAGGGGTTCATTAGTAATCACCATGTAAACCAAAAGAATATAGATTTCATGCAGCTACCATTTTATTGTTTTACACTCTACAAAACATTACATAAAAAGTTGAATATTTTTCAAAGATCTCTTATCATACACTGACTCAGAAACCTACAGTATATAGTGATAATGCCATTATAATCCCACAAGTTAATTCATCTGCCATGTTGGTATTACCAATCATAGAAACTTAAGACATGAATTTGTGGAAGCCTTCAATGGCAAATGCACACATAAAATTTAATTAAAATATATGCAGCCATTCTCAAGTTCAAATATGTGGCAAGACAAAAAAAAACAGTAAAAAAGAATAAAATAAGGGAGCTGTAAAGAAGTGTATATTCTAATTAAATGGGAATCCTAAATTTGGTTGTCTACCATGATTAAATTTTTGCATCTTCAGATTCTGTTTAAAATATTTGGCTTTGTATTAAAACCTTCTTTCATGCAAGCTACAAAAAGATACACCGTCCCAACAATACAATATGAACAGCTTTCTCAAGTCCTTGTTTCCTAGTATGAAAAAAAATATGACTCGCAGTGAGCATGGGCATACTCTGAAATGTGACACAATGAATGCATGAACTGATTTTATCAAAACATGCATTCTTTGCAAGTTGTGCATGAAATGACTAAGTACAGGGCTGACCATGTCTGTCTGCTTATGCTCATGTTCGATTCATGAACTGCTAAATGGATTTTGAAGAAATTTAAAATGGATGTTATGCCACTGGAAGTTACCCTAAACTCATATGTTTAGTTTCTTACAACTGGTAATTATAATGGATAAATTCAATTGTGAGGTGAGGCAACATTGCCATATAATATAGGGTCATACAATAATGCAGGGTAACTGGCCTTAAAAAGCATACAATTTTGGTACAGTAATTCTTTTTAGAATGTAACATAACATGGAAGCGTGTTGACAAAAATAAAAGGGGAGGGGTTGAAATACCTTGCCAGGATTCAATCCTATGACTACCTGCAGATGAGTCCAATACACTATGACAGATCTAACTCACACTGTGGTATACTCCAATTAATTTAACTTAGTTAAAGAAGACATTAAGAATAAATGATCTGCAAGTTAGAAATTACAGCTGTTTAAGATAACAGACATTTCCTTTTATGAAACTAAGGTGTTCTCTCAATAATCAGTTTCTGACAAACAAATAAATCAGAAGATAAGAGAGAAAATAATGTTTAAAACCATGTTCATATGTTTAATGGTAATACTGAAATGTACATAAACTGGGCTGAAATTTGCTCCAGTATCTTTTGTGAATAAGAAGAAAAATAAATAAAAGTAAAAAAAATAAATCTTATACTGAAAGATACAAACACCTGTGTTTTGACATCATCTGTGATCTATTACTAAGCTTAAGTGGACAACAATGGTTAACACTTGCATACTATGTAGTATTCAGAAACAAATATTCAAAGAACAGATATGGAAACTTCAAGTATTCTGGTACAGATTATACTTACCTAGTCTTCTTTTATAAAAGTGATTATAACAACAAATGCCTGGTATTTACAAATTGTGAAGTGCTTACTGTCAGACAAGCACAAGTGAAGTGCTACACTTATTAACAGTACAGTCCAAGTTAAATAAATTATCTTAAGTAAAGCACCTACTTTGAATGGAGTCTGCTGCACCTTCCACCACTGGCTGTGATCCATGTTTATGTCCAGCCATGGTAATACACAGCACTGAACAATGTACTTTCTTGTTTTAAGAATTTAATCAGAAGGAATGATTATGATGTGTTTGTGAACATTATCACCATCATTCAGATTCAACAGTACCCGGAAAACTATACAGGTAAACCTTGATTTACGCCAGGGATGCATTCCTGGACAAACTGGAGTAAATTGAAACTCTTTTTATAATGTAAATCAATGGGAAGTCAATGATATGCTATCCCGGCACCCAAACATTGACGACTTAAGTTCCTCAAAAATTGACTTTGCCTTATCCATGACAGCAATTTCAGTCAAGGGAATGTTTTTCCGATTCATGTCATCCACCCATAGCAACAATAATTTCTCCATTCTTTCTAAAAGTTTACTTCTGCTATAACTCACTTGCGTTGCACTTACTCTCGTACCCTGTACTTCTGCACAAAATACGATGGGTATCACCACTTTCTATTCTACGAATTACGTCCATCTTATCTTCTAACGCAATAGACCTATGCAAGTTTTTAGCAACACATTCACTTCTCTTACCAGACATTGTGGCTCTTCTACAATTTATAAATATAAAACAGTTGCTACTGCAGAATAGTGGCCGAACAACAACACAAACATGTTTAGCACACAGTTTTCAGCACATTCAATGTGTCAACAAGAAATGTACTGAGCGCATTTTTCCTTACTCCCTTATCAGGCTGAACGCAAATGACTCACCGTGAAGAGTGACCAATGTTAACGTGACTGTTGCGCAATGTTGGCGGATTTTTAGGAGATTATCTCGCAACTACTTAGCAATGAGTGCAGAGGTGACTGTTTATAATTTTTAATCAAAATCAGAGATGTAAAAATTATGATTTAGTATAAGAATCAGTACAAGAAACATTGTAAAACGTTATAAATAATAGTAAAAATATATATTTTTCCACTTTTTGACTTGCTTGTTTCAAAAGTGGCGTTATTCTGAATTGGCGCAAATTGAATCAGTGCAAATCGAGGTTTACCTGTATTTTAAATATGAACAAAATGTGACATGAAATGTAAAAAATACATTAATATACATATGAAATACACTTACTCCTGACAATTCTATTTCATCCAACCCTATGATGTCATCATAAATATATTCATTCTCTTCAAAGTCTGGATCTTGTGAAGATTCTATATAGTACTCTATATCATCCTTAATCCTCCTTATCTGAAACAAAGCAGAAGAACATTCCGTTTCACTAAAAATTAAAACAGATTATAATCTATTATCAGAATGAAGAAAAATTTATACAAATTTGTGTTATCTATATACAGACTGACAGTAAAAACAAAATAAACTGGATTACATGTGTTTCAAAGCTTGCAATGAATACGAGGTGCGATCGAAAGGTTTCCAGACTGCGCGTATAAAACCCGTACACTTATCTCAGGTATTAAATTCATCCATCACCCTCGAAGTAGTTCCCCTGGGAGTGAACACAACGATCCCAGCGCCGCTGCCAAGCCTGGAAGCATCCCTGGAAATCTTTCTTTGTCAGCCGGTCAAGC